AACAACATCTTGGTTCACCAAAAAACCATAAAATTGGCAGATTTTGGACTTTCCCGTAAAATACTTGAACTTACAGCTACTTCAGCATTCCAATTAGCAGGAGTGCTGCCTTATATTGACCCACAATGTTTCAAGTATAATAGCAAGCCAAATAAAAAATCAGATGTATACAGTGTGGGTGTTTTATTATGGGAATTGACTAGTAACAAACCACCTTTTAGTAATCATCATCAACAACATGCTGCTTTAATGTATGATATTTCTCAAGGATTTCGTGAGGAACCTATTCCTAATACACCTGATGAATACATTAATTTATACAAAGGTAAAAAATCTATATATGTATTTAAAAACTATATATTTAAATACATTAAATTTTTGATAATTTACTTGTATCTAGCATGTTGGCAGGATGACCCAAAAAGCAGGCCTGATATTCAATATGTTGAAAAAATGCTTATTGGAATGATTTCAGGCTCAAATATAGTTGCTAAAGTTGATAATGAGGAAAATGATGTGCAATCAAAAAATGAAGACAGTAGTTCTTTCAGTCATCCCAGTACTATTTTAACAGAACCTACCACTATTGATTTCTGGCAAGAAGATTTTGATAATAAAGTCAAAGAACTTTCAGAGAATACAGAACCCTGAAAACTATATATACTATCAATAATATAATTATAAATATGTATTATGGTGGTATTGTTCATAATTTTATTTCTTATTTATATAACACATCCTTTAACTAAACTCTTCTGAACTGAGACACATCAATTGTTACGCGATTCTTTTAAAAATTTCAAAAACCACTCATTAAGCATTTGAATAGATATTTTACATTCAATACACATAAGATAATACTAATTCTAAAATTTTGATTTATACTTTTTTTGAAACAAAACAAAAATTGTTATTTTGTCATTAAACATTGATTTTTTTGACTCCAAACAAGCCAGCTTGAACATAAAGAAGCACTAACTCAAACTTGAGTCAAACCTGAGCTAACTTGAAATTTAATATTATTTTTTATAAATCATGATTTTGCAAACTACTGAAAATAATTGAATAATAATTGAATTTTAAATGCACATGCTCCATAGATTCATTGAAATGAGGTTTGACTACATATTTCAGAATCTAAAAAACAATTTTTATTAGAAGCACAAATATTGTTAAAACATGAAATATTGAATTATTCTCAAATTTTTTTTTAAATTTTTGGAATAAATTATTAATGATTTAAAATTTGATTTATTATTGTTCTTTGTATCAAAATCACTAGACATGTTTCAATGAATATGGGAGCTTTTCTAATTTGCGTGTGATCTTACACCACTGGTAAAATAAAAAACTGGATGTTATATTAAAATAATAATAAATAACAGATTATAATAAGTACTAGGTCCTGGACAAAGAGTATCTTTAAATGGTACTTGCATAAGCTCCGAACGATTCGGTTTTTCAGTTTTTCAGTTACATTTGATCCGAAAATTCAGACATTCTTGTACCACAAAAAATCTGTATGCTTAGTATTAGAATTTCCATTCGTAATACAACCTTAATATTAATATTAATTGAATCATTTGTTTTATTCACTTTATTCACTCTACTCGCTTTATTCGTTTTATTCGTTTTATTCGCTTTATTCGTTTTATTCGTTTTATTCGTTTATTTGCTTTATTCTTTTATTTGGCTAAGCTTTCAATGTAATTTGAATACTCAAATTTATAATGAATGAAGCAAATAATGTGAATAGACCTTATTCAATTAGAAACCCTAAGTACGTTCTAAAAATTCATCACCTCCTCTGTAAACCTTTTAAACACATTCAAACTCTTATTGCTTCGGGTTCTAAAACACAATGCCTTTGAGCAATTAAATATATGCTTTCAGAAAAAACTCGTTCAACTGGGAGATGGTTCTATAATAAGTTTATTAGATTAGAATTAATAAATTTAATTCTAAAAGCAGAGTGCAAAAATTAGAATACCAGGAACTGCCAAGTAGTTTCTAGACTAAAGCTCCGAACGGTTCAGTTTGGTTCAGTTTGATTCAAAGAGTAAATCGAAACTGGACCAAACCGATTACTCTTGACATTAGCAAAATGCTTTGGGTTGCATATGTAGTATTTATAATAATAATTAGGAACAGCCCATTTTAATTGGTTAACCATGTTCCATTCAGGGGAGAGAATATTTTTTTTTGTGATATTTCTTAAGAATTTTGTAATTAATTATACCATTTGATAGTAAGTCTTGTGGAATCTGGTTATGTTGTTGCAAATTAACATGGGAGGAACAGATATATTTGGACATCTAATCTTAAACTAATACAGTTAAAATCATCAATCTTTTGGTGCTAATTTTTGCATCTCTTTTAACATAAAGAAAAATAGGCCTACACTTTTAAAATTCCTATTTATTGAACTCAATTAGTGATGGACCTTGATCCTTGTTTATTCAAACTGTGCTTCCTATATCCTGAATTTCAGTGCCTAAATCTTCATTGTCACTATTATTTTCATGAACATAGTTGCTATCATCATAACTATTGTCCATCAATACCATTGTAATTATCACAAGAAAATGCCAACACACTTTGAAGTTGTATGGGTGTTTCCCACCAGGATATCAGGAGATTTTATACTTTCTCTAAAAATAAAAATATTATAATGTTTGCAATATTAATTTATTGGACATTTTGCTTATCATGTCATGATGTGTTGGGCATATTAAAAGGTCATTGGGTATTTAAAATGTATATTTGATTCACGTATTGCACACAAGGTGCTGTGATGATGAATCTTTATAAACATGTCTATCCAAAATGGAATACTACAAAAATTTGGAATGGTAAATTGAATGATGGATTTATCATCAACAGTAATGATAACAATGATAATGACAATAATGTGAAATGGAATTTGAAAGTAATTAATAATTAATAAATATTTTAAAAATATAAATATTATTATTTTATATGAAATTATAACCAACAATTAATATTAATAATTTACAATGTATTTATTATACATGCTATGTGTATGAAATACAGTTTGGATTTCATTTTATAAATAAATAAAAAACCAATAAATTCTTCAAATTTTGAATTATTCTTCATGATGTAAAGATCGTTTAGGAACTATTAAAGGATGAAGTTGTGCCAGATAAGTGATAGCCCACCTATATATTATCATCATCATAAATTATTATTGCTATAATTATAAATTATTTTTAATTATCATTGATCAGTTTCAAACTTACATTAAATAACAACAAACTAAAGACAATATTAAACAAGTCCTTGTTGTTCTAAAATGAATGAAATTAATCATACAGTTAAAAACTTATATATTCAGCAAAAAATAAATAAACCAATAATCTATTCTCTTCCTTCACTAATTTAATTATTTACTTACGTTTGGTTTTGTCCTTTTGGAACTAGAATATAGGAAAAGAATACTCCTCCTGATACGCCCAAACCTATCCATATAATATTTAAACCACTCATATTTTTAATAATTTTATTATTTTTTTTTAATCACAATTAATAATCTGTTTGTTACACGATCATTCATCTTATAAATAATATAAATAGTATGGAAAATGAATTGGAGTCAAGATGGAAAATAAATCAACCATAAATATTGAAGCTATTTCACAAGAACTTGCAAAAAATTTAGAAATAAATGAAAACAATGTAGAAACTGTAAGCAATTAATTATTATTGTTTCTAACATAATATGGCTTTAAATAATGATAATGATAATGACAATAATAATAATGATAATAATAATGATATACATAATTTTAAACAAATAATTAAAAGATTGATGAAATCAAGAAAAATATTGAAGATATGTCTGTGTCAATGGATGATACAAAGAATTCTCTAAAACAAGTAAGCTTTTTTTTTCTTGATCAAAATTTCATAACATCGATGATAACAATACTAATATTATTAAAATTAATAGGTTAGAAATGACATCGATACAAGATCAGAAATAGCATCTAAAGAACTTTATGAAGCTGCACATCATTTAGATTCTTTGTATAATAAGATCGATTCTCTTGAAGTAATTATTTAATTAACTTGAAAATTTTTTTTTTACAAATTGTGATTCAATTACTAATATTTTATTCTGACATGTATGTAATGGATAGAGATTTATTAGTGTGGTCAAACAAACTGTAAATGATGTGACTGATAGAGTTGATGAGGCAGAAAATTTTTTGACAAATCCGATTAATCGTGTTTTAGACAAATTGAAAATGGTAAAAATATTACAAGTAATATTAGTAATGATACTATTACAAATAACATAATTATAATGATATTTATAACAATTTAATTGTAGACTACTGCTAAATCAGTCGAACCTTCACAATTCAATCTCCCACCAATGAAACCATTAAAAATATATAAAACACTAGATCATTTTCCAGAATCCAATACCACTAATGAATTGGAAGAAGATAATAACGAAAAAAAATAATCATGTTAATTTCAATAAACAATAACGATAGATTTTATTTTCTTCCAAATAAATGGAGGTCAAAATTAGTCGATTGTTTAACATAATAATAATAATAATAATATTGATTGAAAGTTTTACGATGTCCCGTTTCTTATTTTTGTTCATTGTCATTAATGAATACCAAGGTTAAAATGAATCAATGGATCTTTGCTTCATTATAAACCTACAAGAACCAGCTTTACAGAAAAAACAATTACTATTTGCAATGATTTAAATATCAAGATCTAAATTTTTTTTATTTACTTGGCGAAGCTTACTCAACAAAAACATCATTTCCTGAAAATGTTAGATGGTAATTCGAGTATAAGAGCCATTAACTGTGCTTATGAGTTTTAAGAGAACCACCAAGGATCAATCGCAACCATGTTCTTAATATTATAACTGTCACACGTGATCCAAATATTTTACAAAGCCAAGCTAGCTGTAGTTACATGTCAAGAAATTAGATGGAAGAGGAAGCTCAATTCCATGATAGCAATTTACTTTATAAGTTATTGAAAACAGCTCAACATCTACCTATCGATCTGGAAGTAGCATTAAGTTGTGGATTGAGTAATTAAAAAAATCGGAGTTGTTGATATAGCATCCAATTTATTGAACGGGACGGAAACAAATAGTCCAACCCGTCCGAACTTACTGCCAGTGAATCAACTGAAATAGAATTGTCAGCCCACATCAACAAAACATTCAATGATTACAACAACAGCAACAGCAATAATCACCATAATAAAATGGACGATTTATTTGCTTATTTTATTTTTCACAAATATATTTTTTTGCTTAATATAATAATTGTAATTCTAGTATCATCATAAACAAACCATAAATCTTTTCAAACGTCTTATATCTGGGGTTAATTCCTGGCATTGCTTCATTGTTGAGCAGAACATGTGTTATTTATCGAATCATAATTGAGTACAAGTCTTATATTAGTTACATTTAGTAAATTTCTATATGTTCATTTGCAGTTTTGATATGTCTAATTAGTGACTTTTAAAGTTATGATTACTTGGTAAAGAGCAAAATAACTATAATTACATTTTTTACATCAAATCGAAGGTCAGATATTGTTGTAAGATTACACCTGTGGTAAAAACGTGGCTTTAACTTTTCAGTAATTTCACAATCCATTTCCCCCTTCAATTTTATACACTATACAACAGGGCTGGAAATAGGGTCTGAAAAAAAAACGGAAATTCCTCCTGAATGCTAAGAATTTTCCAGAAGAAAAATTTAAAAAAAGGAAAATTTTTTGGGTGCTAGAATTTTTTTCAAATTTAAGAATTTTCTTTATTTTATACTTCTGTTTTTGCTTTGAAGAAGATTATTAAGAGCATCACTAAAATCCTAACATAATAAATCAGTATATTCTAAACCAACCATCATTAATAAGTGCAATATGTCATTTTCCATTGCATTACATAAATCTGTTTTGTTTGCTAAAACCTCTTTCACAATCTACACTAAAAAATGGGATTGAGTGCACTATTTCTATAAGTTTTAAAATATAAATAAGACTTGGAGGTTTGGAAATTGGAATATTTCCTTTTGC